ATGTACTTTATAAACAGTCAAATTTGCACACACACACACACACACACACACACAATCTTTGACGAAAACTTGTGTGTTACCTGGTTGTTAAAAATACTTGTTATGCGTAAAACAAAAATACCTAGTTGTATTTCTCCCGACACGTGAGATTTTATCACAAGGTGATACACGCGTGAGACAGATCTTTACCTATTCAGACTGTATTTATTCCCTACACTTTCCTCGATTTTTTCTCATTTTCCTAAAATATCATATACACTAATCACAGTGCCAGTTTGTCGTAATTGTCAGAACAACTGAATATTCGGATACTCGAGAAATAACCAAAAGAACTGAATAATCCGGGTGGCATTCGGCTATCCGGATAATTTCATCGCAGTACTCGAATACTAAGATATCCTAGAAATATCCCACAAACATCCAAGTATACAGGCCCAAGTATGATAACCGTAAAATATCCGAGTACTCGAATACCTGAGTATCCGGCTATCAATACCACTAGAATCGTATATATACCGACGAGATTCCACGCTTCACATATATCGCGCCGATGTGCACTTCCCTCCAGATCCAGAATTCCCTCAATACATTTTCGTATTGAGACTCCTTTGATCGTCATACTTAGGCCACGTGCTATATCGCACGATTTGATAGTTTTATATTCAATAGTTTTATCGCGATCATCCAACGGGGCTCGAGTCCTGTCGGTTCGGTGTAATTGCCCGACAAAATCAGCTGTCTTACGCGATGTCCATCTATCGGCTGTGCGAGTAATACAAGTGCGGTATGCGAAAACTGTGCTTCGCTCTCGCGCAAATCCTCGACCGATCTCCACACCCGGCCGACCAACAAGACTATCGAGTACGCGAGCGAAGAAATCCCGATGTGTGCGCGCTCGTCTGGACAACGTGCGCTCGTGTACAGACCGCACACAGCGCAGGGCGCATCCTGTGTGTACGTGTCCTGTCTTTCGTCCTGCTCTGATCGTGGTCGCGGGACGAATGCCACGCGAGTCTCCGTCTTCGTCTCCCGCTTCCCCCTCCCTCCCCCCCCCGCCCCCCCC